TACCAATTTTAGCGTTCTTTAAAAAGGTTCCTCACATTTACACTTCTTTACCAAAAGAAGGTTCTTAGAAACCAAATGTAAGTGTTTATTCTATGGCATTGTTTTTTTTTAATGTCATGCGTCTGTTTTGCTGGTGTACTTTATTTGGTTCATAAATCTCACTTACTTATAATTTAAAATATTATAAATATTACACATCTCTTTTCTAAATTATAAAAAAAATTATAATAAATATGTGATACGTGAAGTATCGTGATATTTTTGCTGTATCACTTAGCCTTTATTAACACACCCTGTAGAACATGAACAACATATCAACAACGTATAATTATCTTTCTTTTCTAAAGCACAGCAGCAGAAACACATCAGTTATCTGCCTATAGCTTTCTGTATGAGCTTTATAATGATTCATAATGCTCTACAATATCCACCCACAAAACATGATGTAAAGCTTCATAAGACTTACAGAGAAAACTCAAACCCATCTAATCCAGCCTCGCTCTTTCGCTAGAGGATTTGTAACCTCCAACAGGCAAACTCTCTCGGTGGAATCAGCTTTAAGCGGAGCTCTACGCAGAACAGGCCAAAATACAGAGAACTAGCAAAGCACTGCAGAATAAATAACAATGTATTGCGTTCATTCTTTAGAAATTCTCATACTACTGAGGAAAAAAAACACAAAGAATCACAGCAAGACTTACACTGTATTCCATTCATTCTTGATATATTCATTCTTATATGAGAGAAAAAACAAAAATAAAAAAATATTTTTATAAATCAACAAAACAGCAAAATAGTGAAGAGCTGCAGCAAAACAACAGGCTGCATTTTTTCTTTATAAATTCTATCATAAATGAGGAAAAAAACTGTAAATTAGAAAAAAACACTGCTGCATTCAGTCTTTATATATTCTCATGTATAGGAGGAAAATAAAGCAAATTAACAAAGAATTGTGAGAAAAATAATAAATACACAGCATTCAGTCCATATATATTTTTATATAGATGAAACTGTATATTAACCTAGTAAACAAATGCAGCCAAAAATACTATAATATAAAACTATGCTGCACTTGGTCTATATACTCATATGAATGAATAAAAAAACAGTGAAGTAGTGAAGAACTGCAGCAAAAAGAACAGCATATTGCTTTTGCTTGATGTATTCACACATTAATCAAGAAACTAATTCAGTCACACATTTCCATTCAATCAGATACAGAGTCGCACACACAGACCCAACACATTGACACAGTGGATACATTTACAGCTTATATTCACAGCGTATTCATTCATATATGAAAATTATTTATGTAAAGTTTTCCTTATTTCTCTCATATGTATGTACTGCATTCAGTTTAAAAGAGAAACTCTCTGTATGCAACAGTGTCTCTGCTGTGTGGGTCTGCAGTGGTTTTGTGATCGTACTGAGAGAGTTAGCGTCACTTCTTTATGCTGGTGTTTGTGCTGTAGAGCAGAAACACTGTAAGCTCAGTAGCAGAAAACAATTGGAATATCACGGTGTCCATCACACGGCTCTTCTCCGAGAAATTCTACATACATAATGACTTTAAATCAGTGTGTTCATGCATCCACTGACTAAAACTATCATCAGCACAGGGTAATCCAATCAGATCTTTATCAATTCAAATTAAATAGAGAGAGAGAGAGAGAGAGAGAGCGAGAGAGAGAGAGAGAGAGAGAGAAGAAAAACAAAGGAGTCAGAGAAGAGGAACAGAGAGAAGAAAAAGAGAGAAAAACAGAAGAAAGAGAAAAAAATGGGAGAGAGAAAAAGGGAAAAAAAGAGAAGAAGAGACAGGGAGGAGATAAAAGGGCAGATAGAAAGACAGAAAAAATAAGGAGAGAGAGAGAGACAGAAAGAAAAACAGGAAGAAAGAGTGAGAGTCAGAATGAAAGAAAGAGAGAGAGAAATAAAAGAGAAAGAAAGTGAGAGAGAGAGAGAGAGAGAGAGAAGGCATGTGAGAGAAAGAAACAGAAAAGGATGATACAGAGATGGACAGAGAGAGAAAGAAGACAGAAAGAAAAACAACAAGCACAATGAGAAAAAGGAAAAAAAAGATACAAAGAGAAAAAGAGGTGTAAAAGGGAAGAAAAGGAAGAAAATGAAAAGAGGGGGTGAGAAAGAAAAAAGAAGAAGAAAAAGGAGAGAAAGACAAAGAGGGGGAGGAGAAAAGCAAGAAGAAAAAAAATGAAGGACAGAAATAGAGGGAAACAGAAGAGAAAAAAAAGAAAAAAAGAAAGAAAGAAAGAATCAAAAGAGGATGAAAAGGGTAGAGAGAGAGAGAGAGAGAGAAACAGGAGGGGAACAAAGAGATGAAGAGGGAGAAACAGGAGAGTATGAAAGATGGAGAGGGAGAGAGAGGGAAGAGAGAGAAAGAAAGAAAAGAGGGAGAGAAAAAAGTAAAAAAGAGCGAGGTTCAAAAAAAGAAACAAAAATAAACAAAAGGAGAGAGATAACGAAAAAGGCAGAATGAAAGGTAAAATAAAGAGAGAAAGAGGAGTGAGAGAGCTGTATAAAGTGTGCATTAGTTGTTTAATTAGTATAATCTTTAAACAGAATCTGATTTATTTAGTTAAGTTTGAGTAAATCTGAGAAACTGACACAATTCAGATTTAAAAGCCGCTTAAAAACAATGCAGACTTCCACAGATTAACTCTTCATTTCTGCTTATTTACAATAAGACTGAAAAAAGAGAGAATTTTGAAATTCTTGAGAACAGTCCTTTCTTTTCTTGTTCTGTAGGGCAGTGAAGAGAGAAGAGTGCATTTAAGTGTTATATAGCTATGAATGAGCACAGTCCACTCTGATTATGCCACAGTATTTCATTGCTCTACACATTCACACATACACACATTCATAATCTACATTACATTCAGAGTCTGAGTGATGGTGAACTGAGCCCTGTTTGTGCAGCAGAGAGTTCTGTAGAGCTCAGATTAGGACTGAGTCTGGATTAGGACTATGTACAGTATCAGTGTGATTAGAATAATCTCTTGCTCATCAGAGGCCTAATTGATCATTGGTTACGGACTGACGACAGTGACGGAGGAGGACCTTCACCCTGACTGTGTCTGTATGATGGGGGCGTATCTGAAGGCTAATGGCAGTGAACCAGCCGGGGGGGGATGAAACACTCCACTGCCCCACTTAAACACCCCACTGCTCTCACTATAGAAGCTTTATATACATACACAGTCAAATACCATCACTGATCACTAATTAATGAACTATTCACTAGCAAAGCGGCTGCTAAAGGCTAACATATAATTTGGAATAAATGAAACACTGCAAACCAAAACGTATTAACGTATAGCAAAACTAAGCATTAGTTCAAAAATATATAAATTGTGACATAATTTAAATTACAGTGGCAGTGATACCCCCATATATAGAGCATACAAAGGCTTTATATACACATACAATATTTATCAATTAAGTCACTAATCGATCATTAAAACTGCTCATTGCTGAAGATTAACATACACTTTGGAATAAATTATGCACCATATATTTAATTTAAAAATGCACAGCAAAAATATTAGGTGTTGATTTTAAAAATGCAAAAAAAAAAATAAAAATAAAAATATATACAATTACGTCACATCAATTATCTACAATTAATCGTTATTCATTACTTGAGTGTCTAAATGGTTATAAGATAACACATACGTTAGAAATACAACAGAACAGATAAGAATTTTTTCCGAATCAACTACTATATGTAATATAATATTTACTCTCTATCTCTCTTTCTCTCTCTGTACAGTGCAACGTATACAGGTAGGAAAACGTGTAGCATTAATATTAATGTGAATTAAATATGAATATTTAATATGAATTTAATATTAATATGAATTAATGCTGACATGTATACATTTAGAAATAAACCAATTCAAAGCAGAAAATAAAGCACGAAAAAAATCCCAGTTAACTGAAATACAGGAAAAAATAGGCGCGCAGAAGCTTCCCGGCACGTGCGCTTACTGTGCGCTCCCAGCGGGAGTGTAACAGCGCTTCACGCTGAAACACCGTAAGAAATCTCCGTGCTGCGCGCGCTCACAGACACTCACGCAAACGAGCGCGCATGAACTGCATTAACACACACAGGAGAGAGAAGCATCAGCAGCAGGCGCGCACTAATAACACCGCAGCGCGAGCACACAGGCCCAACACAAAAACACATACAAAACAATACATGATATAATATGCAGTGTTTTAGATATTAGAGATATTTACATTATACACACATAAATCAATAAAGCAGGTTCGTTATCAGTGTATCAGCAAAATCCTCGCGGACCGACACGCGCGCACACCTACTAACACAAACACATGAGCGCGTGAACGCCAACAGCTTTAACCCGCACACGAGAGCAGCGCGAGATCAGCGGCCTGACCAGGGTTTCAAAACAAAGGACCAGAGTTTTTGTATTTACTTAATGAGACTAATGAATAAAACACACAAATTATTATTTAAATGACATTAAAAATAGACCTCTATTCAGCACTTATTCTCTCTCTTTCTTCTCCCCATTTCTCTCTTCTTTCTCTATCCCTGTCTTTCTTTCTTGTTTCTCTATCTCTGTCTTTCTTTTCTCTCTCCCTATGTCTCTCTCTCTCTCTCTCTCTCTCCCTCTCTTTTCTCTTTCTTTCTTTTTCTATCTTCTTTTTCCTCTTTCTTCCTCGTTTTTCTTCTCATTTTTTCCTCCCCCTTTCTTTTTAGCTTGTCTTTTTCTATCTTGCTTTTGTCATCTATCTATCTATCTATCTATCTATCTATCTATCTATTCTTCCCTCTTTCTATCTCTTTTATAAACTCGCCGCTCTACTGGCGCTCACTCTCGCTCCTGATTGGCGCAGAGCTTTGCCTCCTCTTTGGCCGGACCCTTCAAAGTCACTCCCCCACATACTGGCCCCGCCCCCTGCATATCTCTCTCCCTGTCTCCCTCGCGCGCGCTCCCTCTCACCATTCATAAAGTATAACGCACGCGGAGCAGAGTGGAGGACAGGGAGACACGCGCGCGACACAAGCACACGCACAGGCACGCAGGCAAGACACACAGGTGCACGCGGGCAGGTGCGGAGGGACACGCTCAGGGTGACAGCAGGAAGAGATGCGCAAGGAGGAGTAACGGGACAGGCACGCAAGCAGAGCGAGACTGGGACACAGCACACATACTCTCTCTCTCTCTCTCTCTCTGTCTCTCTCTCTGTGAGCTGTACTCTGCCTCCTCTTCCTGCCCCGGTCTGACGTCCATCCGCTCTGCACTTCTCCCAAACTTTCTCCACTCTCTCTCTCTTGTCCCCCCTCTCTCTCCCTTTCTCCCTCTTCTCCTCCTCCCTCTGTCTTTCTCTCTCTCTCTGTTTCTCCCCGGTGTTGGTGGGTGCGCCGGTGGGGCGGCGAGTAAACGTTGGATCCCTCAGCGTACTGCGACCCTCCGGTGTTCAGCCCGGACCTCTGCCCCAACATGATCGCCACGCAGGCCAAGCTGGTCTATCAGCTCAACAAATACTACACTGAGCGCTGCCAGGCACGCAAGGCCGCCATCGCCAAGACCATCCGAGAGGTCTGCAAGGTGGTCTCTGATGTTCTGAAGGAGGTGGAGGTGCAGGAACCCAGGTTCATCAGCTCCCTCAGCGAGATCGATGCACGATATGAGGTATCACTAACACCTTTACCTTTTTATGTAACGATGTAAGCAGAGCTCAGTATATGTCCATATGTAGCAATAAATGTGTACTCATATATAGGCACCGATACATATACGAATAATCTTTTATATATACACCTATATATTACGGAGCTTATATACAAAAAATCAAAAATGAAGCAGCATTCATACACACCCATCCAAATCAACTGCTGACTGAGTTCTTGAAGCAAGAGCTGTTAAAACATTTTGCACCATATTGTTTTACTATATACATATATTATGGAGATCATATAGAACTTAACATTTATATAATCATGCAATGTATATAGGTCTATATACACCCCTATTAAAAAGCGTGTATATAGACCCCTATATAAAAGTAATGGACGCCAAAACATGACAGCCTGCAGCATAGAAATGGCAGCGACCGTTCTTGAAACTGGAAGAAAATGTAGTTAACATCCTACGAAACAATTAAGAAATGTATCTGTAGGCTGAATTATAACTTTAGTTACTACAATATTTCCAAAAGCTACACAAATAATACAGCTTCAAAAACTGCAATCACAAATAACAGCTAAATGCACTCACCAAGTCTTTTATTTTACTGTGATAGCTTTTCATGGTCAATTATGATGCTAAATGTTCTGCTATGGTCACCATTTCCAGGGAATGGAGGTGGTGTCCCCCACTGAGTTCGAGGTGGTGCTCTATCTGAACCAGATGGGTGTCTTTAACTTTGTGGATGACGGCTCACTGCCCGGCTGTGCCGTGCTGAAGCTGAGCGATGGCCGAAAGCGCAGCATGTCCCTATGGGTTGAGTTCATCACGGCGTCTGGATACCTGTCCGCACGCAAGATACGCTCACGCTTCCAAACACTGGTGGCTCAGGCTGTGGACAAATGCAGCTACAGGGACGTGGTGAAGATGGTGGCGGACACGAGCGAGGTCAGACAGGATTATCAGGAAAAAAAATAACACCGAATGATACACGATAATGTTTTTCTTTCACATTTAATTTTTTTTAATCTGGATTTATCCTAGAACCTTTTATCAATAGTATTTCACTGATATTATCATCACCAACACTAAACATGGTCAGCCCTTTTTCATGTTTCTGTTTGTACTGGAAGCAAAATACTGCTTTTATGAAGCTTACTACTTTTATCAACATTGTCGGCCAGCACTTATCAATAGTATTACATTGACATGATAAGACCTTTTCATGGTTTCATTTTCATCTGAATTAAAATAATGATTTTAATGTGATTATCGTACTGCGTTTATTGCCATTATCGTCCTGATTTTATCAACAGTATCGTGCTGGTATTACTGTCATCAACACTGAACATAATGTCTTTTCCTAGTTTTCATTTTTATCAAAATTATTGTACTGCTTGGTGGGGACATACAAAAAATGTGTATGGTGAAATCATGACCTGCTATTTAAAGCTGATGTAACTGAAATTTAACTGTGATTATTGATATGAATGCACTAATTTTCCAAATCAATTTTTGCGATGGATCCATTATCATCCCACCATTACAATTATCGATATGAAGTATTGTAACAACTTCTTCAAATGATTATCACAATACTAATACTTCCAATTATCAACCCAAACCTCTAGGTCAGACTGCGCATCCGCGAGCGCTATGTGGTGCAGATCACACCGGCCTTCAAGTGCACAGGGATCTGGCCTCGCAGTGCCGCCCAGTGGCCGATGCCACACATCCCGTGGCCTGGCCCAAACCGGGTGGCAGAGGTCAAGGCAGAGGGTTTTAACTTGCTGTCCAAGGAGTGCTACTCGCTTACTGGGAAGCAGAGTTCAGCAGAGAGCGACGCCTGGGTGCTGCAGTTCGCAGAGGCGGAGAACCGACTGCTGCTTTCGGGCTGCAGGAAGAAGTGCCTGAGCATCCTGAAGACGCTGCGGGACCGGCACCTCGAGTTGCCCGGCCAACCGCTCAACAACTACCACATGAAGACACTGCTGCTGTACGAGTGCGAGAAGCACCCACGCGAGTCCGACTGGGACGAATCGTGTCTCGGGGACCGCCTCAATGGCATCCTGCTGCAACTCATATCCTGCTTGCAGTGCCGCCGCTGCCCACACTACTTCCTGCCCAACCTGGACCTGTTTCAGGGCAAGCCACACTCCGCGCTCGAGGCCGCTGCTAAGCAGACCTGGAGGCTAGCCAGGGAGATCCTCACCAATGCTAAGAGCCTGGACAAGCTGTGATACAAAGACACAACACAACACACATACATACACATACACACATGTACACTCAGTTGAGGGAGATGGTCATTAGCACAAATGCTAAGATGACCAACGCTAAGGTGACCATCGCTAAAAAGTCTACAATGACTAATGCTAAGAGCTTGAAAAGGATGGATATAACAACATCAGACAAACACTTCTACACTTTCTGACACTGGGGGCTGGCGTGTTAGTGCTAAAAAGGCTAAGATGACCGTTGCTAAGAACACCAAGATGACGAGTGCTACAGGCTACTGCACACTGGACGCGAACAGCATCCAAAAATACAAAACTATTGTTTTTATGAAGGTGTTCTCTGTTGATGCTCGGCAGCGCTTAGTGGTTTATATTTGGTGGAGCACCACTCAACATTTTACCATTACAACATTACGTAAGACCATAAAAATCCTTACAGCTTAAAATTTATGCTGTCCAAAATCTTTAAGATAAACAAACAAATGTTAATTTTCTAACACATCAGTTAACATTATTGGCCTAGCATTCTTTTAACCTTGTAACTTTTAGTTTGGAGACAGTGAGTGAAGAGTTGGTTAGCTGATACCAAATGTGATAAATGCACAAAACATTTGAAGGTTTTAATCCATTAAATCTATACAAGTGAAGTATAGCTCTGGCTGTGACACTTTCTATGTGTTACCATTCGGCATATGCAATGCTATGCCAGTGTGCAATGGCCCTGTGCGCCTTCACTAAGGTCTGAGGAGGACAGCCGTTGGACGCTGGAGACAGTCAATGCTAAGAATGCTAAGATGATCAACGCTAAGAGTGCTAAAGGGACTGTCGCTAAAAACGCTAAGACGACCAGCGCTAAGAGCCTGGACAAGCTCTAAGGAGGATGGAGGCTCTGACACACAGACGCTGAAGATGGTCAACGCTCAGAATGCTAAGAATGCAGAGATGACCAATGCTAAGGAGGCTACGATCCTGACAGAGTTTTGTGTGGAGGAACTGGACTGACCCTAAACTGGACTTTGTGGCCACAGAGCAGAGATGAAGGTACAGACTCTCTAAAATAACGTCATCATCCTGTTTGGCTTTTACTGTTTTCACAAAGTGAAAAAAAACTCTTTTTCTTCTTCTTCCCC